TTATTGGGTTTGTCACTCAAAGTGTTGTTAGATAGAGCAGCGTCCCTGACCGCCATGGTCATACCATGGAGTGTTGAGTACCCTTGATGGAGGGGAAAAAGGTGTTGTAACGTGTTTCTCTCTCTTCTAGGGAGGAGATGGTGGTGGTGAAACTTCTGGTGAGTAACTCCTTCGGACTCTTCCTTTTGCAGTGAGGCGCTTTTGAAATAGAAGAAGGTACAGGATATATGAATGGTTGTGTATTCGGAGAGAGACAGCTTGGGGTTGTCCCTTGAATGCATCAAATCCGTCAAGTGACCTGACTACTTCTATGGAAGTGGGAATGTGGAAGGAAATGGCACAGCGCCTGTTAGTCATCAGGTTAAAAATGGGAATGGTCCTGTTCATTTATTTTGCCAGCAGCAGTTGCTGTCAAGATTTGTTTTAAATACTGGAAGGTGAGGTGGATACCATCTTGCAAAGAATTCAGTGATTGACAGACTATACTGCTGTTTATAGTAGCTTATAATTAAATAGTACCGTCAACTTAATGGATTTTAGTTCAGCAATTTACTTCTTTCCTGTTGTCTTCTCGTACAGCAAACACTGTATTAATGGAAATAAGCAAAACCAGCTACTGCATCTGCAAGTGTCTGCATTAACTAGCTGTTAAGTTCCTGTTGCTTTTTAAATGCTGATTTTTGCCAAGGAAGCTCATGTGCATACTGCAAATGTCATGTAAAGGGAGGCATTTCCCCTAGCAGCGTGCATGTTAACCTTGAAGTGTTTTTTCTAGCTCTGAGGCTGGAAATCTCTCCTTTGTAAGATTCACCTTATGTATAGCTTACTTCCTGACGCGAGGAATGTGTGTGTTGACTGGGTTCGAAGTGCTACTTTCAACACGTGAGAGCTGTGGGAGATCACTAAAGCCATTAGCAGTTCCATGTCCTGAAAAGACTTCTGCTGGGAGGGTGGGAGTTTTTCCAGACTGTTTTTAACTGCCTCTGAGTGGTATCTGTGCCCAGAATAAGTCTTGCTTCTTTAGCAGCCTGCTTCTAATCAAACTATACAGGCTTCTTTAATATTGCTTCCTCATGTCTGTCTGATCTTAATTCGCACTGCAGGCGTTTAGAGTTTATGCCTCGAGTAGAAGGATGTGGTTTGATAATAGAAGTAAACTGATCTAAGGGCTCTGCAGCTTCTCCTGGTGCCTGTTTAAACCAGCTCAGCAGCAGCGAGGCAAGAAGAGACGGGATGGGATTGGTTTGTTTCTGGTAGGTGACAGTGAAAGGAGGTCTTATCAAGTACTGAGTAAATGTATGCTGGGACATGGTTTTAAAAAAAAAGTGTTACTGGAAAATAACTGGGGTGGCCGTGACTAAAAATGTAATTTTTGAAGATGGTTGAGATGAAATAAAAATGCCAGGCAAACATATGAATGTTAAACTTCCACTGACAATACTGAGGAAGGAGTAGAAAGTTAATGCTTGCTGGAAGTGTTGTCTGTGGCAGATAGCTGAGAATCTTGATGGATTGTTAAATTAATTTCTGTTGCTGATAGCTCTGGGCATCATAGCTTAATGGAGCGCAGAGTCCTGTTGAGCTAGCTGTGTCACTCCAGCGCCTGATGTTCCTGCTGTGTGAGATGGCAGACAGGAGCTAGGGAACATCCCACCCCACCTGGCGCACGCCAGATTTCTGTACTTGATGTTGTAGAGCTGTCTGTGGGGCTTGGAAGGGGCCGAGTGAATACACCTCCAAAGAAAAGCCGTCTGCTGACGAGTTCACGGCATAACCGGATTCTTAATAGGTTTCCATCGTTAAAAAATGAATGTTTATTCTTCTGAATTTGGAAATTTATTTTCTGGATGTAACTGATTATAAACCCCAAGTAGGTGGCAGGTGGGGTACGCATATTTATTATTCATGCCTATCTAGGGGAAGAGAACTCTTGCCTTTTGCAGCATTGTTCTTGTGTGTTGTTTGGAAGCTGTAGGTCCCTTCTGTGCGTCAAGGTTTGCGATGGTTTGCAGTATACCCAGTGGAAAGCTGTTTCAGAGATTATACCCTTTCTGATAAGGGAAGAACTTCAACGTTTGATCTGGTCCTGTTTCATATACCACTTCAGTTACTAAGATAGCGAATTTATCTATACCTGGATTATGTGGGAAGTGCTAATGTGTGTATCAGCTGGCTACATGAGCCTCTAAATGCCACAGAAACTTCCCCAAAGTCTCCTGTGCTGGTAGTTCTTGGACAATGGGGCATTCAGCGCTGGTGAGCTGTGGGTACGGCCGCGGTGGTTCTCGGCTTGCTGAGTAAGCAGGCAGTGGTACATGTGAGCTATGGAAACATCAAGCTTGAAACTTTAACTGTTTTGTTCAGATGTGCCAGTGGGTTAGTGAACGCAGCAGGGACACTACCCTGGAGACTGTTAGAAGCGTGGATCCAGGGGGTTCAGTGGACATGAGGGGTTTTTCAGTGTTTCTGATAAAATCCTGCATCAAAGATTATTTAAAAAAAATAAGTGGAGTTGCCACAGGATTGGAGGAAAGCTGCTCCTGTGGATAGGAAGGTAGCTAAAGAATAGGAGGCAAAAGGGCAGGGCTTAGTGATTGCTTTTCAGGTTGGAAAAATGAGCCATGGGAAGTGATGCTGGGACTAGTTTTATTCAGTGCCTTCATCCGTGACCTGGAAAAGGTAATGAACAGTGGAGAGTCCAATTTTGTTGGTGATGCAAAGCTCTTTCAAGTAGCCAAATGTGCTGATGGCAAGAAAATCTCAGTGAGGAGGACTCAACTTAAAGAAGACAGGCGGGTAAAAAGGTGGCAGATTAATATTTATAAGTGTAAACTAATGCATCTAGGGGAAAAAAAAGCCAAAACATGACAATCTTGTGTTCAGCTCTGCTCAGGAGTTAAGTCCCAGGATCTGCCTTGAGCCTTACTACTGAAGTTCTCTGAAATGTTTGGAGGGGCCAGCAAAATGCTGAATATCGTCAGTAAGAGGATGGGAAACAAGACATCGCTTTGCCTCTGTAAATAAACAACGAGATACGCTCACATGTTGAATTGTGTATACAGTCCTCGAAATATAAAGAGCAGAAGGTTGTAGTGGAGGTAAACAAGGTGCTGAGGAAGGTGGTGGGAAAGGTAAGGAGGTGCAGCAGCTGCCTGATGAGGAGAGACCAAAATAGCTGCGTCACTTCAGTTGAAGAAAAGGCTGGGGGAGAGGGAATACTATCGAGATTTGGTAAATCATGAAAGTGGAGGTTAAGGTGAATGTGCAGCTGTTCCCCAGGTCCTCCAAAGCAAGAACTAGTGGTTATTAGATACAACGAAGGGCTCTGTTACAAACAGAAGTACATCTTCACAGAGCTGGCGATGAAGCTCCACTACTCTCGCCCTGCCAAATGTCAAAAGGCTACTTGGTGCTGATTTGGGCCTTTGGCTCATAACTGATTGCGTTAATCTATGAAAATGTGAGGTGCTAATGTACTTGCTGTGCCTATGAGTTGATTCTCAGTGAAGCAGCTGCATTAGTTAGTTGCTACAGTATCTAAAGTGCTTCCGGCTGAAGAATTCCTTCTGTGTCCCATCTTCACTTGTGGTCTTTCCAAAGTGTTTAAAATAGATGAAACCATCACGTGCTTTCCAGGGGATGCACGATCAGAGCCCGCCCGTGCATGGCTGTTCCCTAGTCTGTCCTGTGCGAAGCCTCAGAAGTGTGTGTCAGATCCTCCTCCCTCCAGTTACAAAATTGGGAACGTAGTTTGAATCTGAACTCTTGCTTACGAGTACTGGTGCTTCTGTGGCTTGGTGTCCAGCACCTGCTCAGACTGGAGTTACAACTGTCATAGTCATACGCTGACTAATACGTACAAGACTTAAGACTTAAGCTGCTTGTCATTCGGGGTGGGGAAAAAAAGATTGCTGGGGGCCTCTAGCAGCAGCTGAGTGAGTGTGGCTCTTGGGTGCCTAAAACTGAGCTGCGAGGCGTCGGAGTTCATCTGAAAAACACTTCAGAGGGCTGAAGTCCGTCCTGCCGGCAGGTTACGGCAGCACCTGAGCGTGTCTGTAAGCCCGGGGCAAGCTTACAGGAGTTGATCTAAGCCAGCAAAACATCTGGCTTTCGTCATCCCCGTCAAACACTTTAAAAGCTTCTTTTCTTCTAGAAAACACTGAGGCTGATGTAGAAGCTGCCCCAGGTCAGAATGAAGAAAAATCCCTGCCTGCTGCACCTGTTCCTAGCCCAGTAGCACCAGCACCTGCACCGTCCAGGAGAAATCCACCCGGTGGCAAGTCCAGCCTAGTCCTCGGTTAAACCTTTCCCTTCCTGACTGTTTTGAACTTGTGTCTGTCTCTTTCCCCCATGCTTGTGAACTGCACAACTTGAGCCTGACTGTACATCTCGAATTTCTTTCATTAAGAAGAAGCACTTTATGTACTCCATCATTTTTTTTGAGATCAAGGGTTTTTTCCACTTCTGTCCTGTGTTTCCCCCAGATCTACTGGAAGTGACATGAGTGTTTTCTAGTGATAGACTCGAAGGAAAGCTTTATGAAGTAATGTAATTCAAAGGAAAGTAGTTTGGTTCTAAGTGTGCTTAGAGGGTTTTTGTACTGAGATTTTTTTTTTTTAGAACCCCTTAGCTTTACAAGGGTCTAGAATCCTGGTTAAACAGGCCAGCAAACAATCAGCAAGAGCAGTCCCTTCCTCCACGTGTGGGGTTTGGGGAGCTAAAAGGCTCCATTGACTGCGTGTGGTAAATGCCTTGAGCCCTGCTGTGCCAAACAAATCAAAGAGTGGTTAGTGTACCCCAGGCTGCCTTTAAAAAAAAAAAAAAAAAAAGTCTTGATACTGGACTCCTAGGAAGCAGGGTATGTGCCAAATGGAGGGCTGATGACCAGAGCCGCCTGGCCTGATGCTAGGAGGGGATTTGTTCAGTCTTTATTCAATAAAGGTGGAGTGGATCATAGAAATAAATAAAAATGACAAGGCATTTTTTTTACAACTGACTCAATGCTGTGCATGATCATGCTGGTGCTTGACCATGAGGTGAAAATCTCATCCTTTAAAGTGTGTGTTGTAATTTCACGAAGCTGGACTGTTGCTTAAAAGTAAATAATATAGAAATTTTGAAGCAGTGTTTCCTGTGTGGGTTTTTTTTATTTCCTCGGTTGGGTTTTGCTTTGTTCTCGGCTGCCTTTGTCTCGGCCGGCCTGCCCTGTTCTGTTAGAGGTGGAACGCCGCGGAAGAGGAGAGCGCTTGTACCTGGCTTGAGGGCACCATCGTGTGCCATCTTCTTCCCCTGCAGAAAGTGTCTGGCTTCCCTCCTTGGTTTTAGCTTCTAGCTCAGAGAAGTATGGAACATGGCTTGGTATATATAATGTTTTATCCAAAATACATTTTTTTTCTCTCAAGAAAGTTTATTCTCCCAACAACTACCACAAAATTGGACCCTCACTAGGGAGGGGGTGGAAGGGAGGTGAAGTTCTCTGCTGTCCTGCTATTCAGCGTGACCTGGACAGGCTGGAGAGTTGGGCAGAGAGGAACCTGATGAGGTTCAACAAGGGCAAGTGCAGGGTCCTGCACCTGGGGAGGAACAACCTCATGCGCCAGGACAGGCTGGGGCGGAGCTGCTGGAGAGCAGCTCTGTGGAGAGGCACTGGGAGTGCTGGGGGACGACAGGGTGACCA